AGAATCATGAACCTCTACAGCAGAGATGACGCATTGTTGTCTACATAATACCCTTGTGCGCATCTAAATACAAAAAAAGTCCTAGCAATATCTTTATATTAGCTGCTAATCTAGTACTTGTCGGAAATTATAATCACTGAGCTTCACAGTTTCTATTGTAGAATTGAATTTTCATAAAGTTGTGAGTTGTTTTAGCTGTATTTTTGAAAGTTGTACTTTTGTTGTAAGAGATCTTTCACATCTTTTACTCAGGTCCAAAATGATTATCGTTCAACTTACACGCCTACTCGAAGTATTATTCCTCTATGACTTTGCGACATTCTAATACTAGTTCTTTTTCACGCCTCCTGACTATAAGGGCAGCCGGTTTGAGTATGGTGACTGACATATAGGCTGCCGCCACAAGTCAAGCGGCTCAGGTCTTCATGACCGCAGCGCTCTGCCTTGCGCTGGTTAACGCATCTTTCAAATATCTTGACACGGTCTGTGATTAGGTTGGCAAGGCAAATGGAGATCTCTGGATAAAGGAATCGTTGCCTATACGTGTTGCCTCAAGGACTGCTGGTCCTTACATGTTTATGCAAGCAGTTTGGGGACCACTGGTCCGCTAAAGAGCGCCTAATGACGGCTTTGCTTCTTCGCCTAATTTAGAGCTTGGAGGTATTTGTGCATATATCGCATCTCAAATTCTCACACGCGATTTCCGAAGATAGTTTACTACTCCAAAAAAGCGTAAGATTTGTCATCACTATACTCTGGCAAGACTCGTGACTCATGCCTTAAAAAGGGAAGCTTGCTAGCCATTCCGTCATATGATAATTCATTTGTATGATTGACAATTGGGGATTACTTGCACTTAATGTATTAGGTCGTTCCGAAAGTAATGTCGCTTTTTTCAAATGAACGCCACATTTCATGGAATCAAGATTTTCAAGAGATTCTAGGAGCATTCGATGCAGCATTTTATCCTCTTTTTAAAGGTTGTAACATCATTGCATAATTTTCATTGTGCTTTCGAAAAATTAACAAAATCTGCATCCCATTCCTTTTGCCATGGTCAAATTCGGCAATTTTTCAAAATTTTTGTACCTATTCTCCGAAAAAGCACAAGTGGCATGTAGATAGAGCAAACCCTATAGGACACAGAGTAATTTTTTTCTTCTCCCTAGCTTGCTTCTTAGAGTTTCCGGAATCAGTTTTAAAATGCCATCAAATTCCATATTTGGTCAACTTAAACCTCACAGAACAACAACCGGCAAGCAACTCGGGTGTCATTCGACGCAGCTTTTTCTCCTCTTTTTACAGTTGTTTTTGGTTTCCGATTCATCAAGTTTTCCGAGATAAAATCATCATAATCCAGGTTTTTCAGAGCGCCTCCGGCTGTACCAGAAATTTTCAAAAGTTGCTAATCTGAAGCAGTAAACGCTCATTTGCTTTGTAAACTTAGTGTAAAACCATAATTCATTTTTGTAAGTTTCAAATCCGACGATTTCTTGGTGTTTGATGCATTTGTGTCTGAGACGAGTCTGCTGAAATTCGGTGGTTCCATCAAAAAATCTATACAGAAATTACGACGAGCTCTGAAAAGTAGAAAAAAGTTGTGCTGTTTCCTGTAGGGTTTGCTCCATCCATCCATTACTTGGACTCCTTCTGAGGTTTGTTATAAAATTTTAGAAAAATTGTGAAACTTGGCCATCTCAAAAAGCATAGGTCGCAGATTTTGACTCTTTTCTGGAAGCTCATTGACTGTATTGCAACAACTTCATAACCATTAGAAAGAGAATGAAATGCTGCATCAAATGCTGCCAGAATCTCTTACGACTCTTTGTTCCACGAAATGTGGCGTACGTTTGAAAAAAGCGACATTACTTTCGGAACGACCTAATAGAACAGCTGAACGTTCAATTACTCGAGTTTGGGGTAGTTCCTCTCAGCGGAAAGTACCTACGGGCTGTGCGGTCCTTACCGTGCGGCCCCAATAATTTTGCACATTTTCGAAAGTCCGCGAGAATGCGGCCACTGCGCCGCAACTCAATATAGAAAAATCACTATAGTTCTCTTAGCATTCGTCTAGAAATTGGCCAACATCCTTCCAAATTTCTGCAAGCCTCAAGAAATCAGCCAACTATTTTTCCGGTTCCCGCTTGCCCAAAAATCGCATGGTCTTCCCCTGGCGACTATCTGAGTAGTTGCTAGTAATCTCAGGATTTCGGCAGCAATACAAAATAAGCTCTGTAATTTGGAGTTGTACTCGTCTAAACATGCGCCCGCGCTTCGGGACAAAATCGCACCAAAATCGGGACAAAACTAGATCGGTGACTCCCGCCGGTGCACCGAATTTTGGTGCAACTACCTATTTTGTGGGCGGAATTCCTGCAAGAGTATGGCGAGTGTCTGAGAACGTTGATCATCAAATGCTTGGGATGCGCTGAACGGAGTGTCCACCGGTCAAGACTGCTTTGCCGAATTAATTCAGCGGGCATACGCAACATTTTAATAATGCAGAATGACCTTTGTGAGACAACATTATTTTAGCCTTAGCGAACCATCCTTCAAAAAACGGTATAAATAAGATATTACGAGGTATTAACAAGGGGAGAATACTTGGTCGAAATGGCGTTTTCATATGAGATGTACACCATGTTAGGCCCCGGGCAGACGTGACGCGATTTGATCGTCGCGACTGAATCGCGACGAGACAACTGTTACAACATCATTCCATGCTGATCAACTTGCATTTCGGTTGTGATACTTTTCCAGACCGAAATTTTTGAATGTGAAATGAAAATGAATGGAAATTTCGGCGATTGAGTCGCGACGATCAAATCGCGTGAAGTCTGTCCGGGGCCTTACAGAGCATGGAACTCTAATTCCAAATCTGCTTTCATTATCTGCAAAGCGCTTCTGGGAGGGGAGTTCTGGAAATTTCTTGACATAAAAATTCACTAATTTGACTGCGCCAAAAGTATTAGGCTGGAAACTAAGTTTTGCAACTGGTTTCGTAACTTCACTCTCTTTGGATATGGCGCACTCAGACTTCGACATTATATAGAAGGCAATGTGAGCTACAAGTTAGCACAAATTGTCAAAATTTAGAACACGAAATAGAACAGTTTTAGGCGTTTTTCGAAAACTAGTGAAATTTGAGAATTTTTGGGATTTCAAGCTAAAATGAAGCCTTTGGCAGCTTAGACCATGCGCAGTAATCCGGATTCGTCTACAAATTGTTGCTGGAGGTTGACTTCTTTGGTCTAGTAAGAAAGAAACAAAATTTAGGGGCATGTCGAGATTTGGTGTCCTCATAAATTCGAACGAGTCGATGTACGCAAGAGCTGCTGGGGACGACCGTCAATGACTAAAGAGTTCGAAGCTCAAATTCCGCCGAACATTACATAGTAAGGTTATTTGACCTGCCAAACGCGAATATCACATTCATTTGTTGAGTCAACGCGTTTTTTCTTGTTTAGGGTGAGACCCATTATCGTACACTTACAGTAATCCTACAAAAAAGTCCCTATACGCAATTTCACGATCGTTTTCGTGATCAGCGTGTCGGATAAACCCTCTATGCCAAGTTTCAGTCAAATCCGTCAAACTTTGAATTTTTCCCCTTCATAACATACACCTACCGTAACCCTCACGGCGACGTCAGAATTTGGTAGGACGCAGCTGCGCTTGTAGCTTACGTAATAACCAACGCAGTGGCGAAATTTGAGTGCGCCATGTTGAGTGAGAGGGAAGTTGTGAGACCAGTTGCAAAACTTAGTGAACCAACCTAATATTAGGTCGTTCCATAAGTTCGTAGCGTTTTTATTTTCGTACTCATATCTTTGAGGGGCGGTTTATTTGCGGCGGAATGCATATGTCGTTTGGTAGGGCTGATTGTGCTCTTTGAAACACATCTACTGATTTTGGTGGAAAGCTGATTCACTCGGATCTCGCAGCTTCCAGAGATGGAAATCTTGAAAGGCAAAAAGGAGCAATTTCGGCATTTGCGCCTTTTTCGTTGTAAAAAGAAGCGTTTTTGCACAGATTTTTGTGCCAAGCATCTAACGCGGCGTTTGTTCATCAATACAAGACAAAAAAGAATTGGATTGATACATAAGAGCAGGAGCTGAGCAGGATGTCCCTGAACAAGACTTTCCGGGGGACGGGCAGGACGTCCTGCACTGAAAATTGCTGGACGAGTGGGCGACGGTCAACCACACCGTAAGCAGTCCAACTGCACGGTTTAAAGCAGGTCATACCGCAGAAAAAGCCTAACAGACAAATCCAGTGAGTTTTTCTGCATGACGAAACATGGCCTCATACGGCAAACGTCGTCAAAACTCTCCTGCACGATTCGACTGGAAGGTACTTCAGTACCCAAAATACTCTCCAAACCTCGCTCTACCAGATTATCATTTGCTCCGCTCTCTGGCAAACCTCATGAATTGTGCATGTCTCGATTTCAGTAAGCAACTTGAGGCTGGTTAGATGACTTTCTTGGGACCCGGCGCGCTGCCATTTGAAAAATTGAGGTGAGAAGCTAACAATAATGTGCCAAAAGGTTGTGCGTTACAACCAGGAATATAATTTTGAGTGATTTTTCCTGTAAATTGATGATTTTGTTGGTTTATAAAAACGCTACGAACTTATGGAACGACCTAATAGTTGTTGAGGTCTTTCCGGCGCTTGAAAGGAGTAATGGCTGAGCTGACAAGAGGTCATTAGATTGAAGTTCTTCATTCCATAAATCACCCTGGTAGTAATCGGGCCCCATTTGGGTTCATGGATAAAATTCTGATTGTTTTTATTGTAGCGGCGCTTTCCAATCTTTGCATCAAAAAATTTCCGTAACTTCCTTTCCAGAAGCGCTTTGCAGACATCGAAAGCATTTTTGAAGTCAGCGTTCCATGCTCTGTAAGATAGTGTACATTTTGCATGGAAACGCCACTTCAACCAAGTATTCATTCTTTTTAAGTGATAAAGTGGGCTTGAGATGGTATAAAAGGAGAGTTGTGCAAAGTGTGTTCCATTTTTTTACCGTCGTCATACTATGCCGAAAAGTGCGAAACCAAAATGTTGCGAGTCTACGCAGCTGGACACGGACGAGCTTCAAGAGGTGTGAAGCTTGTTTTAAATACGAGAAACGATGATTAACGGTTTCAGAGTGCAGGATCCGAAACCATGAAAAGCGTTCCACCAAGCAGGAATAAGAATATCATCAGAAAAAAAGGGTGAGCACAGGGGAAGGGGTATTCTGGGAGCGATGAAAGGGTGCGCATGAACGCTTTATTGACTCAGATAATCGCCGGGGGCAGGCGGTCCGCAAACTCGCGCTTTCGGCTCCCGCCAAAGTGCCGAAGTTATGCCAGCGCTACGCCAGCATTTCGATCGATACACGTGTATTTCGTTGGGGACGTCAGCTAGCCCCGCCCCAACGAAATACACGTGTATCGATCGAAATGCTGGCGTAGCGCTGGCATAACTTCAGCACTCTGGCGGGAGCCTTCCTGCAAGCGGTCAGCAGAATTTTGGGGCGTGGCCAAACCTTCAGCGAGCGGTACTTCCTTTACTGTCTAATATTCTGCAAGCGGGCAGCAACACAGAATTTTCTGCAGGCGCTCGTCAGATAATCTCTTTCAGCAAAAGCTGGCCGAACTTTCAGCAGGCGCTCGGACCCTTTTTACGCAATTTCGGGCGTACGCCGAGAAAAGATGAGACTCTATGTGGCAGAGGTGTCACCGTTGGTTTAATTACTCAAGTTTGAGGTACTTTCTCTTAGCGGAAAGTACCTGGGGGCTGCGCGGTTCTCCACAAAGGACCGTGCGGCCCCCGAAAATTTTGCATATTTTCGCGGAAAGTTCGCGAGAATGCGGCCACTGCGCCGCAGCTATTCTATAAGGAACCGCGATTGTTCTCCAAACATTCGTCCAAAATTCGCTAAATTTCCTCCAGATATCTGCAAGCGGACCGCAAGAAATCAGCGAACTATTTTTCCGGTGCCCACCGCCCATAAATCGCATGGCCGCCTGCCCCCGACGATTATCTGAGGAGGGGCATGGTTCAAACAAAAACAAAATTTCTTTTTACTTTCTGGCTTTCAGTAATTTGCTTGTTGGAACTATAAAAGAAAACGACGCAAATAGAGAAAGACTTGCTGATCACAGTAGTTTTTACCTCATTTCGAAATATACGATTTCAAAGGAGTTATGATGCTTTGAAGTGAGAATATGCAAAACCTGCATTAATTTCCGGACGACCTAATATAAATTTGTGTTTTTTGTTTTCTGGTGCCCTTATCATACCTTGCGACCGTAAAAGTACTCGAACTTCTGCATGAAAAGCTCTCGAACCATATTGACATCACTGGTAACTAGCGTATTTGAAAATCTTATCATATTTCTACTTGGCTGCAAATATCCTGCCCAGAACAACATTGTTCAGATTCCAGTATGGTCTTGTAAGGTTATACCTTGTGAAAGGGAAACGTGTTGGTCTAGGTATCAAGACGCACAAAGACCAAGTAGTAGTCAGCAAATCACAAAAAGGTAACATTCACAAATCTGTCTTGAACTGAAAAGTGCTTGGTTAAGACTCGATTTGCGAACACATCATTAGGAGATTGGACCGAATTATTGATGTAAACGGGACTCAAGTGGCAGACAGGGATGTATGCAGAGAGATGCTAATAAAATCTCTTTTGGTTCTGCTTTTGTAGTTTCGTTCGAAGTTCTAATATTGCTCATATACATGTATTGCAGAAGACAAACACAGTAAGTCTAGTGATTGAACGACCGATAGAGAAAGAGGCTATAGAGGCTATGGAGGTTGATTTGTGATATAGTGTTTATCGCATAAGCGAATCGGGGTGAATTTGCAGAGGTTCCTCGCCGAAGCTGGTGGACAGTCTGCGGCCACATCGCCGGTCCGCGATAAGAATTCGAAGCCAAAACAAGTAGATCCAGGTAATTTGGTGAAGGGGCTCAAAGGTGATGTCAGTCCGAGGAGGATGCAAAGCCCAAGGAAAGGTAGACGATCTCAACCGCCATCTGCTGAAGATTCGGGCAATAAGGTAGACAGCCGTTTCGTCACAACCGGTAACCGCTTATCTGCCGCTTCCAGTCTCCCCATCGTTCACCATCGTTACATAATATAAACGACGCAAAGGGACAGTCACTGGACGACGCAGAAAAAAGAGTGTCGGCTCTAGGAGGTATATTGAAGAAAGGCAGTAAACTCAAAGCTGTAAGCAGTTCTCTCTCCCACATCCAAAGCAAAACCAGCAAATGCTAAGTTCAGGTTGTCGCACTAAAACGCAAGTGAAAAGAATCATCGTACAATCAATAAACAAAGATTAAGCTAACAATTATACCAGCAGCTTTCATTTGGTGATACAACAACAAGCGCTGGCCTGCAACGCAATAAAGTTTTAATGTAGAAATCATAACGCCATCACAGTGTACTGTATCACAAACAGATTATTTCAAACGAACAACACATGTTCAATCAAACATAAAGAATTTGTAGCAGAACAGTTGAATAAATAACAATTATGTACTAATAAAATTCTCAGCAAACAAAATGACGAAAATTCGCTAAATAATAGTCAGCGATTGAGCAAAATTAAAGTCAATTATATGGATACTTTCGTTAGGGAAAACAGCATTTCTGATATATTTTAGCGTCCTTTACTTTTTGCCGAGTCCAAAGGAGATTTACAAATTGAATAATTTGCTGATGCGCGGACACAGCCATTAATTTTCTTCGAATTTTGACCTTTACATTGTTCACGTTTGTCCTAAGACGGCAGAAAGTAAATTCTAAAACAGAAAACTACTCACACTTCAAATGCGATAATAATGATAAACTCAAGCGTGAATTCGAAAATTTTGCGGCGGATATCTCATTCACTTAAAATATAATAGTAGCTAGGAAATTTTTCAAGTAGTCTTACGCAATTCTGAAACAATGCTGCCTTTGCGTTTTCCCACGTTGGTCAAGAGTTCTACCTCTCTATAGCTCTCACTGAATTTATTCGTATGTGAACATATTTTTTTATTGATGAAAAAGCCTTTCCTGCTTCGCCTGCTGGCAGTAGTGAATGGATGTCGCCAATACGCTCCTCTTATGCCAGCAGTTGGCAAAGACTGTATATTGAGATGCTTGGTTTTGTGGCAAATTTTCGAGCGAGGGATGCCTCGGCGACATAATGTCCTCTATCCTTTATGGTCGATCATAATACGAAGCCAATATAAAAGAGTCACCGAAACAAAGTGATCTGCTGTAATGAAATAGTGTGGGAACTTTATCCTAGGCAAACTATGGAGAAAGAGCAAGCAAAAGAAGCATAAGACATTTAGCGCGCTCACCACTAAATTCTAAATTCATGTCTCTCACTCTGTTGCTTGAAAAACTGGGGCTTTCCGATTTCTTATTTCTTTCGAAATAGCCATAAGAAGGAATTCAATTAAATTGACAAAGCGTTTACATTTATAATTGAAATCAGCAAGGAACGAATCTCAAATTACGCGATTTCCTTGAGGCTCTTCGCTCAATTACTGTAAAGCACTGTGACCCTGCACTAAGCAAAAAATCAAAATGGCACTCTTGAATCAGCCTCCTAGTACCTCTCCTTGGCAGGTTTTTGTCTACGTAATTGTAATTTCGGGTAGGCAACGGAGTTTCTACAAAGCCAGAACGCTTTTTCCTAAAATGACAAAAGCATGAGATATGGCACTCCTAAACACCTGAGCATGCTTCAATAAAAGCCCCCTGGCTCCGCAGTTTACATGATAATTATCAGAAATGCTGTTAAGCAACTAAGTCTTTCGTAAAAATTACCCAATTACTTTGGATTTTGACGACTATATTCCTTAGCATTATTCTGGTAAAATTACCAAAACATATTTATTTTTTCCTGCGAGGATCCTCCTCTTCTTATTGTTAGACAAAACTGTGCTCCATTACTGGTAGCATTTGTTCAACGAGATTTCGTTGAACGAACTGTAGAAAAAGCATTCCAGCGGCAGTAATAAACAAGAATAGATAGTGCATTCCTAAAACAGTTTCCTTCAGAATTAACCCTGTTGTTGTTCTGTAATTTAAATAAAACCCTTGATGAGATAAAGACGACCTTCTCCGAGGGAGTGTGCCTGCTGTAGGAAAGACAGCGGCAGGTACATTACGGCAAAAAATGACGTCAATGCCATAAGGAGCTGAAAATTGCATTTATTTCGATACTTCGGACCAGGGGTAAATCAACTTACAATGCTCAACAAGTACGCGTGTAAGAGATTGTCATAGAAGGACCCAAATTTTCTTTTGAAAAAACAGAATACGAAGAATATAGTCGACAGCAGAGCACAAAAAAAGTAGATTCCGACGAGGATGTGCACGATAACCGACGGTTCCAAAAGGACGTGATGCAATACGCTGAAAATTAGTTTTGGAGTATTTAGCATTGCAACAAGCAATGTATGTAGAAAAATATGAAACTTGCAATGAAGATTTTTTTGTTATTGATGGTTTTTTTCTCGTTATGAAAAGAGACTAGAATCTGAAAGGTTTATAGGATTGTTATAGCCGGCTTAAAGGCATTGTCGGCAGATTTGCGCCCTGAGGGATATTGCTGTGGTGGGGTTCCTGGTCATCCCACTGACCTCCAGGGCGCAGTCCGGCTGGTTGGTGTTCCCCATGGGCCGGGAAAATAGCCCTTGAAGTGGCGCGCGCAACCCCATTCGGCGCGAGCTCGGACGAATTCGCCTACCGTTCGGCGCGGGACCCCATGACTGCTCTTTCGCATTTTGCATGCTATCCAAAGCAAAAATTACAGGCAGCAGGGTCTTCGTGCCAAGGCCTCCCAAATTTCCATTGAAATCCTCGTCCGATCTGACTTTCAAAACTGGGTAAACTCCCCGAAAAAGGTCTTTTCACCCGTTTCAAACCTCATATTCGGGGACTACGGGTCGAAAAGGCCCAAAACATGCAAAAAGATGGAAATGAAAATCTGCCGAGACACTGCCTTTGATCCCTTCTATCCCCGCCCTCTCCCTAGTCGTTGCAATGATTCTCACACAGACAGCCGAAGGGATACCTCCGGAGCGAAAATGGGAGGGTCCCGGGCTCTGCCCAGCGGGGGTTTGCCATGCTCCGGAGCGCTCCCATTTCACGCGTTTTGGTGCTCCGGGGCTCCTCCAAATCTGGCGCACCCCTGGAGCAGAGATTTGCGAGCCCCGGGAGGGGTCCCATTCGCCTTCTTCGCCTATCCCTTCGACTGTCTGAGCAGGCATTTGGCCCCTTTACCATAAAGTAGATAGCTTTGACGAATGCGGACGGTAGTGACGGTGCAGAACCCCTTCGCCGTATCCATTCTTCAATGATAATCGTGCAAGAGTTTGAAAGACTACTATCATAACTTATAATAACCGGCTAAGGATGTTTACGTCTTTTTGTACGTGTGTGTGTCTGTCTGTCCGTTACGAAATTCGTTCAGAATGTTCCAGCCAACATCCTGAGCCTAAATTTTGTACGGTGTATGCCACCAGCATGAAAGTTCACTATGCAAAAGCACGAGCGGATCCGTTGAGTGGATCCCTCAAAAAACGCGCTTCAAACGGACCCGCTTGGATTCTGGCCAGCAAAAACGTGCCTGTAGCACTACTTTTTGCAAAGTCATGGATATGTTTGACAAGTTCATGTGCAAGCCAGGGACTTTAGCCCAAAAAAGTGAACAAAAGTTTATTACTACGAAACTATTACAAAAGTTTATTACTTTATTTCTATGAAAGTGGCGCCAAATAGATTGATTGCGTAAATGTTCAATTTGCCAAAATTTTACCTGATCGTATAAAAAGATTTTTTCATAGAGATCTAGCTCACGGTTATTATTATCCTTACAGCGACTAGCAAACCATAAAAAACTCAGAAACTGATCCAAATTTAAATCTGTCCTTGAGGGAAAAGTTTCCTCCATGCGAAATTACCGATCTCACTTGAAAAAGGTTTAGCAATGAATAGTTGTTTACTAATCATTCGTGATAGTCCTCATAGCGCGGTGAGTTTCAATGTCATTATTGTGCAAGAATGAGTAAGGCAAACAGAAAGTAGGGCCAGCGCGAGCCTCTGCGAAGCAGAGGTGACGCACTGGTCTAAAATAACTCAATTGCGATTATGGAAAGATAAGAGGCAAAAGATTTAGCTGTCGTTTCAACGGTGATGCAAACTTTTTCTCAAAAAGGAGTACGATTAATTAACACACATTAAAGTTTACACCACAGATATAAAACCCTCTTTAGAAGCTACATGAACAGAAGGTCACAAATTCATTCTAACCTTTGACAAGTCAACGTTCTATCAGCAAAGTGTTAGACTGGAAAGAAAGTTCTTAAACGTTGTAATTAGACGAATTTTTTGCTTTGCTGTGAGTGCGAGATATAAAATGTGGCGCATAGCGGAATAGGGAAAAGCAAGCCCTACAACACCGTACTGAGCATAAAAGGCCGGACACCACGCGATTTCATCGCCTCGCAATTCTCCCCACAAGACAACTATCACGACATTGCCTCTCGATCTCTTGCAGTTCAGTTATTCGCCATTGATCGCGTCGGAGAACTACCACAACTTAAATGCAAGATGATCGGCAAGCTAATGACAGTTGTCTTGCTAGGAGAACCGAAGCGATGAAATCGCTTGATGTATGCCCGGCCCTTGTACATAATCATTAAGTTATTAGGTCGTTCTGAAAGTAATGTCGCTTTTTTCAAACGTACACCACACCTCGTGGAACAAAGATATCTAAGAGATTCTGGTAGCGTATGATGCAGCATTTCATTCTCTTTCTGATGGTTACATAATCACTGCACAGAATCCAATAACCTCTCGAAAAATTATCAAAATTTGCGACCCATGCCTTTTGAGAAGGCCAAGTTTCAATATTTTTCTAAGTTTTTATAACAACCCTCGGAAGGAGTCCAAGTAATGGACGGATAGAGCAAACCCTACAGGAAACAGCACAACTTTTTTCTACTTTCCAGAGCTTGTCATAATTTTTATAGAGAATTTTTGATAAAACCACCGAATTTTAGCAGACTCGTCTCAGACACAAATGCATCAAACACCAGTAAATCTTCGGATTTTAAAACTTACAAAGATGGATTATGGTTTAACACTAATTTTACAAAGCAAATAAGCGTTTACCGCTTCAGATTAGCAACTTTCGAAAATTCCGGGTACAGCCTGGGGCGCCCTGGAAAACCTGAATTATGATGGTTTTATCATGGAAAACTTGATGAATCGGAAACAAAAAACAGCTGGTAGAAAGAGGAGAAAAAGCTGCGTCAAATGACACCCGAGCTGCTTGCCGATTGTTGTTCTGTGAGATTTGAGTTGACCAAATATGGAATTTGATGGCATTGAAAAATTGGTTCCAGAAAGTAAAAGAAGCAAGCTAAGGAAAAGAAAAAAATTAATTGTGCTCTACAGGGTTTGCTCTATCTATCTGCCACTTGCACTTCTTCGGAGAATAGGTACAAAAATTTAGAAAAATAGCCGAATTTGACTATGGCAAAAAGCATGAGTAGCAGGTTTTGGTAATTTCTCGAGGGCTCATTGAAGATTATGCAATGAAATTACAACCATTAGAAAGAGAATGAAATGCTGTATCGAATGCTCCTAAGATCTCTCGGAAATCTTAATCCCATGAATTGTGGCGTTCATTTGAAAAAAGCGACATTACTTTCGGAACGACCTAATATTTTGAAAGAAAGGGCAAAATTAAAACATGAAAGCTTGACTACACTCGAACTTCAACCTCTCGCAATGATGTCCTGCCCTGATGTATATTGGACACAGTCTCATACATTTAAAAGCCTGTAAAGAATTTGCGCTCAAATAAAACGATATAATTGAAAATGGCAAATCCCACACCCATTGACTCCAGGGCCCTCCATCTGATTAAGCACAAGCTAAATACACGCAAAAGCATAACTGCAGCTCTCTTTTGATTGCATGAGATAATGCGAAGTAGCAATTTAGCTGAAAAAAGTCCAAACAGTTTCTTACCGATCTAATGTTACTGGCATCCAAGATTTTGGTGATTCTTTGAAATTAAGTAAAAAACGCTCAACCTTATATTATAGACCGATTACTATTTATGTATCCAACTCGATCTCTCTGCGTTTTGCTTTGCGGAACGATTGTACCTTGCTTATATCATGCACTTTTTTCAGCGGAGTGATCGTTTTTTGAATGATCCACTGCAGCACATGCGTGGTAACTTGAGATCGGATATGACATGGATATTATTATACTTTGTTCGACCCATCAGTAAATCATAGGAATGAACTATTACAAAATGATGAAAGAAAGTGAATGACTGACAAGCAAAGGCAACACGAACTACGCAGCTAGTAGTATTAAAAAATGAATTACATCGTTTGAACTCAGCTAGTAGTGACGTTAGTAAAAATTGTAACTATATCTAACATAAAAGTAATAAGAGTGTTCATCCGCTTTTTTTATGAATCAACATGACTTCGAAGCTATTTATCCAATTACAAATGCGATGATATGCGGTAAAGACTGAACTAGAGATCATGTGTGATAAGCTTCTAAACTATTAGGTTTTATAAGTTCGTAGAGTTTTCTCAAACTAATGAAATGACAAAATTTTAACAAAATTTAAACAGTAAGTATGTTTTGTCTTGCCACAATACCATCAAATTCCCATCACCTTTTTCTCAAAACTCAGCAATTCTGGTCTCAAAAGGAGTCGTCTAATCAGCTCTTGAATTCTTCTTCAAAACTGAAACAAATAAGCATCGTGCATAAAAATGCAGGAGAGCGGAACAAATGATAATATTGTGGGACGAGGTCAAGAGTACACTGGATATTTATGCACCTTTCAGTCGAGTCTTGCATAAAAGTAACGATCATGCTAAACGCTCATTGGGCCTGTTTATTAGGCCTTCTCCGCAGTAGGGTTTTGCTTAGATGGTGCAGTATAATCTACCGTTTTGCTCTTTTCCAGCAATTTTTCAGTGCAAAATGCCGCCATCCAACCAGAATTCTTCTATTTAGGGGACATCCGGTTTGACCCTTGGTCATTTGGAGCAAATCGGTCCTTTCTTGTATCATACCGATGCGCACATACCGTTTTCCATCACTGGCAAAAAAATCCATGCAAGAACGCTTCTTTTCATGAGTGTGTCAAAAATGCTTCTCTTTGCTTTTCGATCTCATCTTCGGAAGCCAAGGAATTGAGAACTGAGAAGTAGAGCAGCTTTTCAAAGAAATTGATAAGTTCATTTTGAACAGCAACAGCATGATCAGCTTTCTCCAGGAATTTAACATCTTATCAAATCAGTCGCTTTTGAAGAAATGAGGACGAAAAGAGCTTTACAAGAACTTCTCGGATCTGCACCCTCCGCAAAAACTGTAGCCCTCTATATGCTTTAATATTAGTAAACACTTACATGCGCTTGCTCATGATATGTATGCACTTCACGCTTAACAGCAAATAAGAAAGCATTGAAATGTGGCAAAGTGTCTCTTTCACCTTATGCTTTTTCCACCTTTCTACCAACCACCAATATAGTCTTTAGTTCTCACTCTTAGGCCCCGGACAAACTTCACGCGATTTGATCGTCGCGACTCAATCGCCGACATTTCCATTCGTTTTCATTTCACATTCAAAAATTTCGGGCTGGAAAAGTATCACAACCGAAATGCAAGTTGATCGGCATGGAATGATGTTGTAACAGATGTCTCGTCGCGATTCATTCGCGACGATCAAATCGCGTGAAATCTGTCCGGGGCCTTAGCACTAAATCTTCCTTATGTTTATTCAATGTGAAACATAGCTGACTAACATATTAAATAGTGTTAATCCTTACTCATGCAAAGAAAATGACTAATTCCGTTCTTTCTATTGCATCTTTGCTCAACCTAAGACCTCGAAGTTGTTTGGTTGCTGTTGTACCACTGAAGGACGTTTCAAGGTTTCAACGATTCGGTAAGCAGTGTCCCATCACACCTCTCATGATACTCGGATTGAACATAAGCCGATAAAAAGCGCAAACTTTTCGAGCATTCTAAGAATTTTTCTAAACGAACGGCATTTGACGAATGGCAACGTTTGATAGACAGCAAAATTGGGGCAGAGATAAATTGTATAGCCATAAGTCTAACGGTGTCATACAATCGCAGTCTTACAGTAGAGAGAAAAAATACAAAAAAAGGAAAATTCTCAAAGGGCGGCGGAAACCTAGCGTATAAAACAATCCGAAAAGGGAATAAATTATTAGTCCAAGAGTCCAGCCAGTTTGGCATTGTTTCTCAATATAATATATGTATAAGCTTTGATTTCAAATACTAATCCCCAACCGATTTCGCAAGAAAGCCTTTGAGAGGATGCATAGATGGTTTTTGATAGCATATGTGAAACACACTAAACAAAAAACTTTAAAATATCTAAAACAACTTGAATTGTGAATAAAAATTAGAGCACTATCAACTTGCATTGTGGTAAAAAAAAGGAGAACATTTAACCAAAATGAGTTAGCACTTGCATCTCAGAGGATACCTTGCTCTGAACTTGAATTTTTGATCAAGTGCGTAAGGCAATTGCTTTCATAAAATAAAACATGATGTTCGTCCCAATCCGGATCTAAACGATTGTGTCCGTCTCGTTCACGAGCAGATCTCAGGTCTACTGCGGAATACTTAAAAAAAGAGGTAAATGATTCAGGAAGATACTCTAAGCGTCCATACATCAGCTAAGTATTTCCTGCCTCGCACAACACCCCACTTGATTTATGCTCCTGTCATCAACCTGAGTTTTCACCTCTACCGTCTTGATTAATCGCCTCTGTCTGAGTCTCAGTGAAAAAAATTGATAAAGCAAAGAAAATTCGTCGTCTAAAGTGTAAGAGTAACCCATTGACGACGACGCCTAATTTTGCGCGGTGGCGCTGCGGGACGACGCGATTTTGCACAACACTTTCAGTGTGGGAAGGTTTCGTGCTTATTTACGAAATGCAACATTCTTTTGTAAACAACCATTAACATTTTCTTGAACGACAGAGCCTATAGCTCCTAGGAATACAAAAAATTGGAACAAATATTTATGTGTGGAAAAAATATTAGACCTGCAAATAATACGACTTTGCGAGAGGTGTGGGCCACCGGGGGTCCACATCGTCCCTGGCAGCAAAAAGAACGTAGGCCACCGGTGGTCCACATCGTCGTCAATGGGGTAAGAGTAAGAATAAGAATTACCTGAGAGCAAAGCAGATAATTGCCTGAGCAGCAGCGCAAATTTGCGTGGCGCATCGTAGTGATAGTCCACATAATGAGTATTGCTTCTCCACCTGGATATCCGCCATGGACATTCTTGCACACTTCGATAACTAATGGAAAGCCCAAGTTGGTTGGAGTTGAGTACTGAAACTGGTAATAGATATTTGCAAATACACCATATGCGTTGATTACGAATTTTTTATGCATTGAGTACGAATAAAAATCTTTAATAAAAATAGCACGTGATGATAGAAATTACCACGACGGACAGTCAAGGATGAATCTCTATATAAATAAAGCTCGATGTTTGTAAGGTTCCGGTCCATTTGTCTGTGTTTTGTAGGAACGCCCGCCGTTGGACCGATTGAGCTAAAAGTTTGCTTACTCATGTACTCGACCTCTGCTACTACAGGCTACTTTTTGCTTCGAGCAGAGTCTTTCTACTGATTCACTGATCTGTTTACTCCAAAAATAGGAAGATGAAAGCTTAGCATGGTCTACAACCATTTTGCAATGAACAAGCAAGCAGCGGCGGTAAACCTCACTTTGATCCCAAGGTCGGCAGGATGAGAGGCGCTTTTCGCGCATGGTAGAAGAAATATGAAAGCTTAAGTAACACATTTTGGTTAAACTACCTAATTCAGGGTCTCTGCTGAGACCGGAACCGCCAGCTAGTTTGCCCATAAAAGCATGACAGATAATCCATTGTCTCCCTTTCCCTCTCCTTCCTGTCAGGTGTTTGTTGCTCTTATCAATCATAATTTATTTGTTCCCCTGCTCTAAATTACTTATCAAATCATGACGAAACTACTTTCTACCTTAGACAAATCTATTAAATTTTGTAAAGAAGTAGACATTTTGTACCAAGCCAATCTTGATTTCATGCATGCGATGAATTTACAATTTATGAAGTCCAGTGATCTTTGATCTCAATTTTGATTTCGGTTTATTGTGAAAAACTTTCTAACTAAATAGTCCTCGTGTTGATCAAGCGTCTCTTTAAATGGTTAGTTACTATCCTGTGTGGTCTTCAACCGATAGCCTGGTATGTCAACTAGCCCAGTGTAAGCAAATTTGCTACCGAAAATGTGGGCAAGAAGAGGATGAAGTTTACACGTACTCAATCTTTGAATTTATGGAGTAGTAGATGTGGTTGATTCGCAATGTTCGCTTCAAAAAGAACTCGTAGTCACCCCTCTGACATATAATTTAGATACCTATGACGAACGTCGATTACATAGAGAATGATGTGATGCGGATAAAAGATATTAGATTAGCCTCTGATAGAGATTTACACGGGCATGACATCCCCTCTACGTCTTCCCTGGGATTATTTATGGATGGATAAGCGCTGCCTGATGTTATTATCGATGATGTGAAGTGGATTTTTACAATAGCCAGCGTGCAGCTGCCTTTGGTGCATTACTTGAGACATGAATCAATGCGATTTTGAATAGTCTCAAACGCATTTCCATTTTAATGTGAAGATATCTTGGGTTCATTTCTTGTCTTTTTTTTTCTTGTTCGAGCTGAGCAAGCTCTATACGGAAATTCCAAGCCCACGAAAATCGTGGTTTGCGTGAAGTTTGAGGCCAGATATTAGAAAAATTTCCAAAAATGGACTTAGCAAAAAATTATGGGCATCTCCCACTTGCTCATTCGAACAATAGATAATCAAACATATAGCTGTTTTTTCCACAAGAAAAACTGATAGGCATAAAATGCAAACTCCACACTTAGCCATCCTGGTCTTCTCGCGTCCCCACTCCTAGATCCTCAAGAGAATGGATAGCGGAAATTTGACAGTGGTTTAAGGTGGTTTATTAACTCACAAAGCAAATCATTTTTGCTTGTAAGTTATTAACATAACTTTGAAAAAATTTTTTTTACCAAATCTTATTAATGAATGATTCTTGAAAGCTCGACTGCGATCAGTCCCCTTTTTTGAAGATTTTGGGATTATCCCAGAAATTTTTTTAGAAGGGCTAAGCAATATCTTGGCTTCTTCTTCCAAGAAGAACTCTCCACCTCCTCTCCACTAAAAATTCGTCGAACCGCAGTAACACGCACATACACATGCAGCTATATAGCTCGTATACCGAAGCACAGGAATATAAGGAATTTACAACTTTGTAAGTGTCCTGGTCTTTGGAAACATGAATTGTTCATTCAAATTTGAAAAAAAACTGATTTGACTGTCAAGACGACCTGAGACATAGTAACAAATGAAAATACGAGACATAGGAACAGGAAGGTTAGGTTTGCAGATCGGCAACCCCATTTCCTCTCCTCACACAAAACTTTTGAAGATCCATTGCCAGTGGCAACTGACGCTTTCATCCCTCTCAGCTAGATTAACAAAATTTATTAATATTGCTTCAGGAGAAAAGCTTCATGAAATGTCGTATTAAACATAAATGATTTGATTTTATATACTGCGTGAATTGACTGGCAAGATAACTGTCCTGTGTTTGCAATCAAATTCAATGAATTATCTACTGAGAACTCTTTCAATGTGGCGGAACAGAGCAGCTTTCAAAGACAGAAAATCAGAATAGTTTCTGCTGTTTGATAAATGACACTGCAAAATACATCCATCTAATTATCAAGCACGTTCACAACATGGATGTGTTTGCTCTCAAATTGCGATACTCCAATTTCGAGCGAGAACTAGAAGAACAAAGATCGAAATTTCATGTGCATCACATTACGCAGCAAGATGATCCGCGCTTCTCCATTGCCAACGTGTGAGAATATTAATTGGCAAAATGCAATTAGAACTTCGAACACTATGTGTGTGATCTTTATTAAGCGAGAAAATTTGTTCACATTCTTTAAGAAACCTCAGGCCCTTGACGCACTCATAATTTGATTTCTACAGCAGCGCAAACGACATATCGTCGAGTCATTTGTAACTTAATATGCGTAGTGCACACTATACACGCTAACTGACGAACTGCGAAACTAGAACCTGCTCATCTCCAGTGATTTACCCTTGCTTCCTTGTTTCTTTTGTTTTAGTTAGTTATATGTTAGTCAGTAGAACACATTTCTACGTTTTGTTAGGCTAGGAAATGTTTTACGGGGAAGTTACTAGTGTGGGTGCCGTCGCTAATAGGGCTTAGTGTGCAGTCTCACACATTAAGTTACAAATGAATCGAGGTTTTATAAAAAGTTCACTTTGAATTCACTTTTCAATAGATAGCCAAATTCGTAAAATCCCAATGCCGTTGAAAAAATTGCATTTTTGCTATTATCCCAACGTTATTGAATAAATAATTGATGGATAGATGTGAAATTGTCTTGAATGTGCTTAGCGTGGGCTTAAACAATTTTCAAGACTTTTTTCCACGAAAATATACTATCCAATATTAACAAGAGCGCACTGTCTTTATAGTCCTTTGAAGGCAGTGTGCAGGCTTAATCTAACCCCTTCCGATTAGTGTCGATCCTGATTGTAGGCTCCAGGAAAGGGGTATCTGCGTTGGTCGGGTCCTTTAATGTTGTCTCTGAATGGAGATAAGGGGTCTGGAACAGCCAAAGTCTAACAGACTCCACCCATACATGTACTGGAAGCCGCCCGCGCCCTCAAGGCAGGGTCCTCAGGAATCGGGTTTATTGAGGGTTTTGGACAATTTGAAGTTAATTCTGTAATCAGGGCCACGGAAAGGCCCCAGAATGGCGAAAATATGGGAGGCGAAATTTTGGGTGGAGGCCGCCTTTAACACCTCGTATGGTCATTCTCAACTGAACAGGCAGAGTTGATTTCTGCAATGCATCGGCAAATTTTCCCAAAAGTAGCTGGAAGAGAATTTATTTCAAGAAGTCAGTTCGCTGTTTGAATAGATCATCATCACTGGGGAAGAAAATGTCTTTGGCCAGGTCACAGAACCTCTTTGGAGGACGTAATCGCGGTTCAAAATCGAATATTTTTATTGAAATCTGTACTAGGCGCAAGCGAAAGGAAGACATCGCCAGTCTTGCACTTCAAAGTTGCTCATCAAAAAGATGAAAATAGATGAGTGTATCAGGGAGTCAGAATTTGTAAGCAGAAATATAGGAAGATGGATTTAACTCTGGGAAATTCTTGAAAGATGGTAAGACAGCACTAGAAAAAATCTCTAACAAAACTAATTCGTATTCTAAGAAAAGTACAAGAATATTTGGATTATTCAAAAACAAATTTGCAACCCATGTAGTCCACCTTGAGGAATTTCGCTACCTATAGTCACGGCGTGGAAACGGTAAGCACTATGCAATTTTTGCCTAATCTATAAGGAGGGGGCGAAACATCACATTTTACAAGAAAATTTCAGGAAATAAGGAAATTAGTTCATCCTATAATCCATGAAGTTGGTTGCACCATTCTGTCCCTTATACAGCTAACTAGCAGATGAAACACTAATAAGCGAGGACTTGCGGCTACGTCTCACGGTATTTCCTGCTTTTGTTCAAAGTACATATTATCCTTTTGAGCAGAATACAATACATTTGCAAGATTTTGCAATAGTAAATAGGGAAGTAAATGTCTCGTCAGCATATCAGTTAATATCAGGCTGAGTACATTGAAAAGGCAGTTGATGTGATTCTGAAAATATCAGGCTCATCAAATCAAGAAATGCATTCTAAAAATGATCGAAAATGCTCAATCATATTATTTATTAGGTTGGTCCAAAAGTTCTGTGCCACCATTTTCAAAAAATCGTAACTTCTTTATAACGCAGTGTTTTTGCAAGAGTAAAACCATATTAGAAAGAGGAATTCATGTACTTTTTGAAACTGAGTTGGATGCTATTTATTAAGTTCTGAATGCAGAGATAAAATTGTTGAAAGGAATTCAGTTTAATTTCGGAATTTTTAAACAAGCCCGTTAAAGAATCCAAAAGTGTGTACCATAAAATCCAAAACAGCCACTCTCCTAGGTTTTTTCATACCCTCTTTCCAACTGAGCAAAATTTGCGCTAGCTCTTTTGAAAGAAGTTATGATTTTCAAGAAAAAATGCCAAAAAATCAGTTTCTTAAGAAAATTGATTTTTTGACATTTTTTTCAAAAAATCATAACTTTCCGAAGAACTTTCCGACTCGATCAACGCGCGCTTTGCTCAGCCAGAAAGAGGAAGTGAGATAGTCTAGGATAGTGGCTGT